TTTCAATGTGTTGTCCAATTTGGTTAGCTAGTATTTTGTTGAGGATTGTTTCATCGGCATTCATCAGGGATATTGCTGTATGATTTTCTTTTCTTATAACTTCTTTGCCTGGCTTTGGTATCAGGGTAATGCTGTCTTCATAGAAAGAGTTTAGAAGTGTTCCCTCCTCTTCAGTATTTTGAAAGCTTTGAGGAGGATTGGTGTTCTTTCTTCAACTGGTTGAATTTTCTACTGAAGCTATTTGGTCTTTGCCTTTTCTTTGTTGGTAGGCTTTTGATTACTAATTCAAAGTCCTTATAAGTTATGTGTCTATTCAGATGTTCTGTTTCTTCATGATTCAGTGTTCATAGATTGTGTTTTTCTTGAAATTTATCCATTTTCTCTTGGATGTTCTATTCATTGGCATACGGTTGTCTATAGTATTCTCTTAAAGCCTTTTTACTTATATATAGAATCAGTTGTATGTCCCCTCTGCCATTTCTAATTTTACTTCATGAGGCTTGTCTCTTTTTGTTAGTTATTCTAGGGAAGGGTTTGTCAATTTTATTGATCTTTTAAAAAAATGTACTCTTAGTTTTGTGCTTTTCTATTCTCTTTCGATCATCTCTAATCTTTATTTCCTTCTATCCTTGGGTTCAGTGTGTTTTTTCTAGTTTACACAATTGTAAAGGTAGATCTCAATTTTTTGAATTGAGATCTTCTATTTCAATGTAAGCATTTATACATATGCTTTTTTTTTTTTTATCTCAGCACTGTTTTTGCTTCGTGTGTTTTTCTTATCCTTTGTTACAACATATTTTTTAATTTTGCTTATATTCAAATTTGCTAATTTGATACATTGGTTATTTAAGAATCCATTGTTCATTTCTACATATATCTAGATTTTCCAGTTTTTTTCTGCTGTTATTCACTGGTTTTATTCCATTATTTTGAAAAAATATACTTTCTATGATTTCAGTCATTTTAAATTTTTTAAAAGTTGTTGTTTTCTCCTCAAATGTGGTCTTTTCTGGAGCATGTTCTTTGTGCAATTCAGAAAAATTTGTATTCTACTGTTTTTGGGTGATGTGTATATATCTCATAGGCCTACTTGATCTCTATTAGTGTTTAAGTCTTCGATTATTTTTCTTCTGTCTGGTTGTTCTATTCATAAGTGAAAGTAGGCCATCAAAGTCTCCAAGTATTATAGTGGAGTCGTCTGTTTCTCCTGTTAGTTCTTTTTGTTTTATATGTTGTGGAGCTCTACAATCAGGTGCCTATATATTTATAATAGCTATGTTTTTCCAGAAAATTGATCCCTTTACCATTACATAATGTCCTTCTTTGCTTATTGTACCAGTTTTTCACATAATCTCTGTTTAGACTGATATTAGTATAGCTACCTGTGCTCTCTTTCTGTTACCTTTTGCAGGGAAGGAACATCTTTTTTATCCTTTCAATTCAGTATATGTGTGTTTTTAGAGTTAACATGAGTCTCTTGTAGACAGCAAGTAGTTGTGTCCTGTTTTTTAATCCATTCAGCTGATCTGTGTCTTTTGATTGCAGAGTTTAAACTTAACATTGACATTTCAAATAACTACTGAAAGGGAAGGACTACTTTTTTCTTTTTTAAAATTTTTCTAGGGAAGGACTTACTATTGATTTGTTAAAAATTTTTTATACATCTTGTATTTTTTTCCTCCTCATTTCCCTTACTGCCTCCTTTTTTGTTTCACTGATTTTTGATTACCATCTCGTTTCCTTTTGTGCATATTTTATAGCTATTTTCTCTGGTTATATTGCAATTACATAAAACATCTTAAAATTACAACATTCCGTATTAAACTGGTAACTTCAAACACATGCACAAACTATCTTTTTTAGGTCTGTTCCATCCTTATGTTATCAATATCACAAATTACTTGTATATAAACTGTGTTTCCATTAACATGTATTTAGATCTTAGCAGTAGTCTCTTGTTATCTTTCTTTCTCTAGACAAATTTCTTCCCACTGTTCCACTTCTCATTCTGCACCCAAAGTCTTCTTGCATTGATGTACTGGTGGTAGGTAAGGTTTTATCGTATATGTGTTTACAGAATGAACTCATCCATCTGCTCTTCTCAGCTATTTTTAGGTTTTTGCTTCAGGGTTGTACTGTAAGAACATTCTTGGACATATCTCCTGTGATATATATGTAGGATGTCTTGAGTATATGCTTGGAAATAGAACTCATGGGACATTCAGTTTGATCAGTTTGATAGCAAATATTATAAGAGATATATACTTATTTTCTTTCCATGACATCATACTCCCTTTCTTTTTAATTCTCTTCTGTTACTGCTGTAAGCTCAGTGTAATTTTCATGGTTAAGCATGGATCAGATTAATTCTTCTGGCTAAATCAGCTTATCTTTTCTTCCAAGGTCAGTTTTTTTACTGTTTTTGTACAATATATTCCCACAGCTATGCAAGACTAAACGCTGCTTCCGCATGTCTGTTACTCCCTGCCCTCCATTTTTGCTTTTCCTCCAGGCTGGCCTTTCATAATATAGTTGCTGGATTTGGATGGACTACACTGTTACCTACCAGGATATTAATCTTGCACTTGTGAATGCCTTAATTTCCACAGGTCTTCTTGACCCCCTCCCCCACCAGGCTACTCTTTGTGTAACAAAACACCATACTCATTCATTGGAAAACTTTCTCAGGACTCTGCTTAAATTGATATATACAGGCTGTGATGACTCAGATACCATTGTTCATAAAGAATGCCTGAATAACGATATTGGCCACACAGCTCAGCTCTTTCTAAAGTCTTTGTATTTGATATGACCTGTTGTTAACTGTACTTACTACCTGGTTAGGCAGTTGTTAAGAACATGTTGTTCAGTCCTGCGAGCTCATGTTCATATTTTCTTACTATCTTGAAGTTAGACACATAAATCCTGTGAGACTCCTGTTCTTATTTGTAAAATAGTAATAATTTATCTTGGGTGTTTTGTTTGTTTTTTGCTGGCCAGTGTAGAAATCTCAATGCTTTTAAAACAGGTTAATGCTGTTAGCTAGCTTAAAATATTGATTGTTTTATAGGAAAGACTCAAAAAATTTCCTTTGTTTAATAAGATGTAACAACTGTCTTTCATGATGAGACGAGTCATTGCCTGTGTCTTAGCTCAGCCTCCTATAAGAAATTCCATAGATTGGGTGACTTAAACAGCAAATTTATTTTTCACAACGTAGGCTGGAAAGTTCAGCATCTAGGTATTGGTCAGTTTGATTCCTGGAAAGGGTCTTCTTCCTGGTTTACCTTGGCTATCTTCCTGTGTGCTCACATGGTGGAAAGATTGAGAGGAAGCAAGCTCTTTGTTTATTCTAATCCCATTCCTGGGATCCATGACATAATTGCCTCTGAAGGTCCCCACCTCCAAATTCAGTCACTTTTTTCTTTATGATGGGGTATGTTCTGAGAAATGCATCTATAGGCAATTTCTTCATTGTGTGAACATCATTGAGTGTACTTAAACCTACATGATATCTTTTACTACACACCCAGGCCATATGGTATGATGGATTGCTTCTAGGCTACAAACCTTTACAGCATGTTACTGTACTGAATGCTATAGGCAATCAGTTAACTCAGAGGTAAGTATTTGTGCATTTAAATGTATCTAAACATAGAAAAGGTACAGTAAAAATATGGCATAAAAGATAAAAAATGACACACCTGTATAAGTATATGTATCCCATTATAATGTTAAGGTACCACTATCATATATATGTGCTTTGTAGTTGACCAAAATGGATTAGGTACTCAGCATATGAATTTTGGTAAACAAACATTCAGACCATAGCAGCCTGTGTTGTACCTATTCTGTTTTTATTTTCCAGTTCGAAACAATGTTGTTTCTGACCTTAGTTCATAAATTTAACTACAATAAATTTGTATAATTGTGGTTATAATTGTGCTTGCTTATATTTACCTCCTATTTGTATCATGGGCTATTGGAATGTTTTATTTATTAATCTTTTTTATGAATTACAGATGGTGGGTTTTTTTTTTTTTTTTGTCCTTTTTGTGTGACCGGCTGCACCGTGCTCAGCCAGTGAGCACTGTGAGCGCACCGGTCATCCCTATATAGGATCTGAACCCGCAGTGGGAGCACTGCTGCGCTTCCAGTGCCGCACCCTCCCGAGTGTGCCCCGGGCTCGGCCCTACAGATGGTGGTTTTTCAGCATGTATTATGTAATATAATTGACATGCACTACTTGTTAATGTTGCAAAACCCTGTTCTTTGTAGGTATAGATGGTTTTATAATAAGTATTCAGAAAATGTCTTTTTCATTTTCCTTTTTTTTTCTTCAACTTTGTTTTTTGTTTGTTTTTGGTGACTGGCCAGTACTGGGATTGAACCCTAGTCCTGCTGTTATCAGCACCATGCTCTAAGTATTCAGAAAATTATTTTATTCTTATAACATTGCTTTCTTAAATGTTTCCTAATTTTTTCAGTGCTATTTTTGGTTTACCATTCCAAATTGACATTTATTTAGATTATTCATTAGATAAGTTTGTTGTGGATTATTTACCACTATAGCATATTGTACTGTGCTTTAGCATTTATTTGCATACAATAAATATGAAGAAATAGTATATAATAAATTTTTTTTTCTCTTCAGTTATGACAGAGCCATATGCTTACTTCCAGTTGGTGTGTGCTTTGGGCTCATGGTGGAAATGTAGCTTTTTTTTAGTGCTAATATAAATTTGAGCAACATGTGTGTTTTGGTTACAGAGTATTTGAAAACCAGGCTTCCCTAAAATTAATTTGAATTGCGTGTACTCACTTTTTCTTTACTAATGAATTCTGGTTTTTTCCTGTGTTCCCAAAAGTTGAAGATCATGCTGGAATGTTTCATAACTGTGTAATATAAGTGTTATTTTGGTGCAGTATTGCATTTTCAAAATATAATATTTATTTACTAATTTTAATTAATTAAAGTCATGTTCTATTTTATATTGTAGATATCATTTCTAAATGTGTGATCAGAGAATTACTACCAACAGAAAAGAGTAGTACAGAAGAAATATTTCAAGCAATGATGTTGGAAAGATATGAAAGTCATGATAGAGAACATTTTTCCTTCAGTGAAGTTAAGAAAAATATAAGTGACTTTGAGTTTCAGTGGAGAGATGATAAAAGGAATTATAAGGGAGTCCCTATGACCTATCAAAAAAATCTCACTGTTAGAAGATATCAACATGGTGGAGTGGATGCAGGAAACAAGCCTCTTGAAAATAAACTTGGATTAAGCTTTCAGTCACATCTGGCTGAACTGCAGAAATTTCAGACTGAAGGGAAAATTTATGAATGTAATCTAATTGAGAAGACAGTCAACAGTGGTTCCTCAGTTTCACCACTCAAAAGAATTCTTCCTAGTGTTCGCACCATTTCTAATAAATATGGGAATGATTTTTTGCATTCTTTATTACTCACACAAGTCCATAAACGACACATTAGTGAAAAACCTTACAAATGTAATGAATGTGGCAAAGCCTTTAATTTGTCTTCAAGCCTTACTAACCATAAGGTAATACATACTGTGGAGAAACCTTACAAATGTAATGAGTGTGGCAAATGCTTTAATCGGGCTTCACTCCTCAGTGTACATCAGATAATCCATACAGGAGAGAAACCATATCAATGTGATGTATGTGGTAAGGTCTTCAGTCAAAATTCACATCTTGCAACTCACCGGAGAATTCATACTGGAGAGAAACCATACAAATGTAATGAGTGTGGCAAGGCCTTTATTCAAAGTTCCAATCTTGCAATTCATCAGAAAACTCATACTGGAGAAAAACCTTACAAATGTAATGAGTGTGGCAAAGCCTTTAAGCGGGGTTCATTTCTCACTGCACATCAGATAACCCATACTGGAGAGAAACCATATCAATGTGATGTATGTGGCAAGGTCTTCAGTCAAAATTCACATCTTGCAACTCACCGGAGAACTCATACTGGAGAGAAACCATATAAATGTAATGAGTGTGGCAAGGTCTTTAGTCAAAATTCACACCTTGCAAATCATCATAAAACTCATACTGGAGAGAAACCTTACAGATGTAATGAGTGTGGCAAAGCCTTTAATCTTAGCTCATTACTCAGTAGACATCAGATAGTCCATACTAGAGAGAAACCATATAAATGTGATGTATGTAGTAAGGTCTTTAGTTCAAATTCAAGTCTTGCTGTTCATCAGAGAATTCATACTGGAGAGAAACCTTACAAATGTAATGAATGTGGCAAAGCCTTTATTCAAAGTTCCCACCTTGCAAATCATCGGAGCATTCATACAGGAGAAAAACCTCACAAATGTAATGTTTGTGGCAAAACTTTTAATTGGTTCTCACTCCTCACTATACATCAGATAATACATACTGGAGAAAAACCATATAAGTGTGATATTTGTGACAAGGTCTTCAATTACAGTGCAAACCTTTCAATTCACCGGAGAATTCATACTGGAGAGAAACCCTTCAAATGTAATGAATGTGGTAGGGTCTTCAGTTACTACTCATGCCTTGCACGTCATCGGAGAATTCATACTGGAGAGAAACCTTACAAATGTAATGAGTGTGGCAAAGCCTTTAGTGAGCGTTCAAGCATTACTAAGCATCAGATAATCCATACTGGAGAGAAAGCTTATAAATGTAATGAATTTGGCAAGGCAATTATCCATAGTTCAAAACTTGTAAAACATCAAAAAAATCCTACTGGGGAGAAACTACACAAATGTAATGATTGTGGTAAAACTTTTCTTCATAGGGCAAGCCTGGTGTACCACCACAGAAGTCATACTGGAGAGAAGCCATACAAATGTAATGAATGTGGCAAAGTCTTCAATTCCAGTTCAATCCTTGCAAGTCATCGTAGAATTCATACTGGAGAGAAACCTTACAAATGCAATGAATGTGGCAAGGTCTTTAGTCACCGCTCACCTCTAGCACGTCATCGGAGTATTCATACTGGAGAGAAACCTTACAAATGTAATGAGTGTGGTAAAGCCTTTAGAGTGCGTTCAATCCTGACTAATCATAAGTTAACCCATACTGGAGAAAAACCTTATAAATGTAATGAATGTGGTAAAACTTTTATCCAGAAGTCAAGGCTGGTATGCCATCAGAGAAGTCATACTGGAGAGAAGCCATTCAGATGTATTGAATGTGGCAAGGCCTTTGGGCTGTGGTCCTCCCTCAAAAGACACCAAAGAATTCATTCTGGAGAGAAACTTTACAAATGTAATCAATGTGGCAAATCCTTTTTTCACCATTCAGACCTCACTAAACATCAGAAAAAACATACTGGAAAGAATGATGCACATATACTAAATGTGGCAAGACCTTTAGACATTCTCCTTAACTCTGGCTTCACCAAATAATTGATACTTGCATATGCAGTGAATATAGCAAAGTTTTAAACTAGTGCTTACTACTAACTAGACATAAGAATATACATCCTGGACAGAAACCACAGGCATATAATGTATGTGGCAAGAATTTTACCTAAAGGTCAAAACTTGTGGATCTACAGGGAATTCAACGTGGAGAGAGACTTTACAAATGAATGAATTTGGCAAATCCTTTACCAGAGTTAAATCATTGCTCCACAAAAGAGAGTTAACTACTGAGGAGAACTGAAATGTACGTGGCAGTGGCTTTACCCAGGCATCACAACTCATTAGACTTCAGAATATACATCTTTGAGAGAAACCACACAAATGTATTGTGCATGCTATGCTTTAACCACCAGAGATCAAAAGTGAAACATTAGAGCATTCATATTGGAGAGGAACCTTACAAAAGTAATTTGGTAAGGCTTTTTATCAAACGTTCATGCCTTTAGGGTCATGAGAGAATTTATACAGCAGAGAAAACATACGTAAGTGCTGAACGAGGAATGGCCTTTAAGCAACATTGTGTCCTCAGGCATCACCAAAGTATTCATACTGGAGAGGATCCTCACAAATGTAATGAATGTGGGGAAACTTTTTAATCCTCACAGTGCACTACATATCAGAAATCATATAAGGGATACTAAGTCTACTTCAACATTGACCTGAAATACTACATACTGCAGAATTACTACAAGTTAAAGTTCATGACTGTGTGTGTATCAAAGGAGCAAGATTGTGTGTAGAAATGGCCAGTTATCTTTATAACATACTGTGTTAAATTACTTGCGGTTTCTTGAAAGTATACCTTACTATTTATGACTCTCAGTCTGACCTTGAAATCTATTGATAGGCCTTTCTTATGGGCGTTTCATTGTGGTGTCTGGGAAGGGATCAAGATGAGAGGGCCTACTTTCTTTGGTGTGTTTCCTTTGTGTTCATGTTCCCTGTATGATCAGTATGTTGTATTTTAGAATTCAATATTGTGCGAATTAAAGAGGATTTTGGGTGGGGGGTGTGGAGAATGATGTAAATTTTATTATGTAAGTCTTCATGCTTCTTGTGTTTAGTGCCCTTTTCCACATAGAGGGCCACTTTGGGTTATAGGAAACAATTGTCCAATCAACTGACCATGAAACAGAGCAGGCTAAGACATTAATAGACTTGGGTTTTCATGGGAGGAGAGTGATAGGTTACTAAAGATAGATTACATGGTAGAAATAATGCAGGGGAAATGGTGGTCCCCTTCACTGAATGACAGTAGCTGTTCTATTTCAAAGGTTAATGAAAAATTAGTTTTGAGAAATTAGAGAACAGTTAGGAGAGTTTAATCAAAACGGCCAGAGTAGCATGTTCATGAGTGGGGTTTACATTGAACCACTGGCATTTCATTTTTTTATTGTTTTGTTCAGAATGTATTGTAGGTCCTGTGGTTTAATTAATAAAATTTAATCAGTTTTTCATAACTCAATGGAGCATGTTTATTTCACCAACACATTTTCATCTCTTCTCCATAGGGTACTTCATAATAGATACTATTAGGCTCTCATGGTTGAAATAATCTGTAACAATTTTTTTCCATGGTGGAATCAATATACTTTTGGTGAATATATGCACCTGAGATATTCTGCCTACACTCTGCCCCAGGATATTTATGTGGCTATAATAAAAGTGCCGTATAAGTGCAGTTTCAGACTGAGCTCATAAAACCTGCCTCTGTTCATAAACTTGCTCTATACGGTTATATTTCTACAATGCCTTTTGTGTCTAAATAAGGCCCTTGGCTTACACCTTGGTTTACGTGAGATGAACATACAAATAAAAGAATCCTATAAAAAAGACAATTTCAGGAAAAAAAAAATTTTTGTATGTGTTCTTGGAGCTCTTGGTGAAATAATTTGAAAAGATTAATTTTCATGAGTTCTTTTTCTAAGAATGAACATACACAATTGTGTTTTGTTTTTCTTAATAAAATAGAAGCTTCATGTGGCCGCTCCACTGGGATAAGATGGAACCCCACCCAAAATTTGGTTTATTGAGACTGATGATGTTATATACTGAAGTGTTGTGAACAGTGTCCATTAAATGATAGGCTTTCTCCGTAGAGCAGGGCAGACTTTCCAAGCTGGTTCAAAAATGGCATGAGAGCAGGGAAAAGGTGTTGGTGTTTTGTTGTGGGTAAGGAGTGGGGTTAGGGTGAGGATGCCCTAACCCCATTCCTGCTAGTGCCAAATAAGGGTGCACTCAGGCTTTATTACCAACTTGCCCAGATGGGCAGAATAGGAAAAGGGAATGCAGAGGCTTAAAAGGTGTCAGTAGTCAACATCAGAAAATGGAGCCAGGTTCTTTAGTACAACATTGAGTGTTTAATCTTACAACTCCTGACTTCTTGCTTGAGAAAGATGGCAATTTTCTTCATGCTGATAACTTACCACATTGCTTTTTTTTTTTTGCTATGCCATATGTCCCACTGCACAGTATGGTAAAAATGGTCATGAAACATTGTTAGGCAAATTGCCTACAGTACCTAGTTTAATGAAAATTGTATGGAAATGTTTATTAGTAAATATGATTAAAGAATTTTACTAGAGCATTTTTCCAAAGGCTATAAAAACGTCAATATCAGATTATGACATTAAGCATTATGTTACATCTTACATGATATAACATTGTATTATGTTACATTCATTCTAAGTGTGGTATAATTTGTTTCTGATGTTATATAAATTTTTTCTTGCACATTATAAACCAGGTTACATGTTCCGTATATATGTGTATACACACACACACACATATACCTGTGTGTGTGTGTTTGTATATCTTTCCTGTGTTGTTCCTATGAGAAATTTAGGGGATACATAAATCACGGGGTTGGTTTGAGACTTCTGACCTGAAAATGCACAAAAGGCAATGACAGGTACAAAGTAGGTGCTTTGTAAATAGGAAGAGAGTTCCTTTAAGTGTTTAGTTCAATAAAAGAAAATCTCAAGGCAAAAAGCAGGTTAAAAGACTCATCCAATCATATCTCAGTATGTGGCTGAAATAGGACTTGAATCCGTGTTGTCTGGCTGCAAAGATGAATCTCTTAACATGATGCTATGCTATTTCCTTCAGCAACTCAGCATCTGTACTTTTTTTTCACAATTGGGGAAATTGTTTTATTTTCTGTGATTTACGTTCATATGAAATTGTGGTTGTGATAACTATCTATTTTGTCTATACATTTATAGGCCAGTATTACTTATGAATAAATACTTAATAAGATGTAGATATACTGGTTACCACATAATCCCACCAGAAAGATTGTCTAATGTGAAGATTGAGGCAAGAATGGTCCACTACTATGGTGGGACAGGACACATTTCTCTAAGCCAGGAGCAGGAGTAAAATGATATGAACCACTGAAATAACTACACAGTGTTGCGGTGAGCCAAGCTGTAGAACCTGAAGCATGAGTAAGAAATAAAACATTTTAGGGTAGAGACTAAATTACTAATGATTTCAGTTATATAATTAGTCTAGGGATGACACTGGAATTTAAACAGTTTTTGTTTATATTTGGTGTCTGGTCAGTATGGGGTCTGAACCCTTTACCTAGTTATAACACCATGCTCCAACCAACTGAGCTAACCAGTTAGCCTGGATTTCCAACAGTTTAATTGAGATATATTTTACATACTCTAAAGTTTTTTCATTTTAAGTATACAGTTACATGATTTTTAGTACATTTACAGAGTTGTGTAATCATCTCCACAATCTCCTCTTACGGAATTTTTTCCAGCTCTCCAAAAATATTTTTTAATGAAAAAAATTTACATGATATATATGAACATGGAAATTGCTAAAGTATCTTTTTTCCCCACTTTTGTACTTTGTATAAAATCCACATTGGTGACATTAATTTTCCCTAAAATGCTCCTCTAAACTTGAAAAGGTTATTCTCACCATAGCCTGCAGCCTATAGGTGTTTTCTATTCAGATACAATTCCTGTCTCCATTAAGCACATTAAATGACCACCATTACAGAAAAGACACGTTCTAGCCATTTTCACTCAGACACACATGATTTCTGTACATAGTTAGATCTCTCTTCTATTTTTTGTCCTGTATGCAAGTTTTATAGCAATGACTATTATCTTCAAAATAGCACTAGGGACTACTTTGTGGCAGGCGAATCAGTTAAAACAACAGATAAATTTAATATTAGATTAAATGCTACACAGCTAAAACATCAACAGTGACCATCAGTGAAGATCACATTAGGTTATATTAACAGCAATCAGGGATTCCTGTGGTGTGTACAATCTCTCCACAGAGCTAGTCCATATCTCAGGAATTGCTCCTCCAACCTGTGTCTTTGCCACTGGAATAGGTTTATACTCCAGAGAAATTCCTTGTTTAGATATAAGCACTTATATAAAATTTACATGTTTCTCAACAATTAGGAGGTTTTGTATTCTTTATTCAGACAAAGCACAGGCTGGATGCCCTAAAGTCACAGCTCATGAGCAGAAAGGGGCTGACAGTGGGAAACACCCAGTGACTACTGAGGTGCTGTTCATCAAGAACCGGTGGGGATTATTGATAAGGGCCACACAAACTTGAAAGATGCAGAAAAAGGTGTAAAAATAGACAAAAGTGCTCACCAGGAGAAGAATGGTTTTGGTAGCTCTGAACTCAGGATCTGGAGTAGAAGTTTGTGAATAGGTTGGACGCACTGCTCGTGCATTTACAGGAGGAAAACCACAGAGCTGCTCTCCCAGAGCATGAGCCCCAAACACAAAACATCAGGGAGTAACAGCAATGCTGCATACAGTGACTCTGAGCTTTTATCACAACTAGTACCAGAACAGAAGGGACAATGCACCTGGGAACTTTCACTTTAAGTCCTGCCCACACAGAGTTCCTGGGACCGATCATAATGGCCTGGAAGACACTCAAGATATATTAATGCTGCGTATATATATTTCATTTTTGTGCTATTACAGATACAATATCAGGTATACACTGAAACTACATAAAAGGACAAACCTAAAAATGAAGAAAATGGTTAAATTTGGAAATCAAAATGGTATCAGTGTGGAATAATTAATGGGCATTTTACTTTATTTTATTGTTTAAATATTTTATAATTAAATGTGTTTCTATGTGTATTAGATTTCTTTTGTACCTGTAAAAAATTTCCATGAATTTAGCAGCTTAAAACAACACCCATTTGTTTTCTCCCAGGTTGATAGGTCAGAATGCTGAAATCAAGCTGTCAGCTATCCTAGGCTCTTAACTGTAGCCTCTAGGAGAAAATTGATTCCAAGCTGATTCACGTTGTTTGCAGAATTTATTTCCTTTTCCAATATCCACATGGCTCACTTCATCCTGAAAGCCAGAATTAGCACATCTAATACCTCTCCTGTTTTGAATCCCTTGCTTCCTTTCTGCTGTATCTCTTTGACCTCTTCTGTTCTTTAATACTCATGTGATTATATTGGACCCACCTAGATACTCCAGGACACTCTTCTATTTAGTCAGTTTGGGCTGCTATAACAAGTATACCATAAACTGGGTGGCTTAAACAACAAATATTTATTTCTCGCACTTCTGGAGCCTGGGAAGTCCAGCATCAATGTGTCAGCAGATTCTGGGTCTGTTGAGTGTTCCCTTTCTGATTTGCTAATGGGTGTCTTCTACCATCTTCATGTGGTAGAGAG